TATATACGGCGCGTTGCTTGTGTGCGAGCGTGCGCACGCGCGTGGCCGGATCTTCCCCTCCAACTTCGGTTCGCACACAAGCAACGCGCCGTATATACGCGTGCACACGTATTGGAAATATGAACCGAATATTACCGAATCTCACCGGAAAGAGTCGATGTCAGATGAGTGCCTCCCGCGCCCCGAATATCAGAACCCCTTTTGTCCAGAGTTGTAGCTAATGCTCCGTCTATAGATGTCTATGGTTTTAGTGAGTTTCAGAACGTGCATTTAGATTCAGGATTACAACACAGTATAACCACAGTATAACCACAGTATAACCAGTAGTTGCACTCTCTGTCGGCGCCTTTGATCTGGGCGTTCTCAATTTTCCGCCACGTTTTTGATCGCCCCAACAGTGTATCAACGGCTAAAAGTGCCTGGGCCCTTTTCAGGATCGTATCCAGGAAAGGCGCGTACGAACTAGCGTACATTATTTATTGTAAATGGAAAAGGCCTATGAAAAAAATGTTCTAATAAAAGTAATTAATGTAATTACTTGCTCCAACGTATAAAAGTATTAACGCGTTATTCGTCAACACTGCAAATTTTTCAATGTCACACCGACTTTGCACTAACACACGTACAAAAATCCTGTGATTGGTCAGAATAAAAACATGTCGGATGCGCAGTACGGATCGGCGCGAGCGTGAAACAAAAGAGCGAGTGCCACTACTGGTTATACCACAGTATAGATAGTAGTTCTCTCAGATTTTATTATTATATTATTATTATATTATATTATATTATTATCGTTATATAAGCAGATGGACAAATGTGGATAATTTTCCAGCAATTGGTCAACAATGCTACTTTCTTTAACATGGATTCGCAGATTATGACACTGCTCGGGAATTGCTACTGTCCTGGGATTCTCAGATATTTGCCGCAACTCTACTTCGCTTAGGTTTTTCCATAGTGTCAGTGGTTCATCGATACTGCTGAAACGCGGCAAAAACACTGTCTCCAGACGTTGACAGGAAGAAAACAATCTCTGCCAGCAGTCCTTACTGTCTATATCTCTTCTCCTGTAAATAAAACACCATTATTGCGATTCCTAGCAAAGAGAAAAACAACACACTATATCTATATTTCATGATACTTGCAAGAGTAAACACATAAATTACGATAAAGAATGTAATAATATGTAAAAGAAAATCTAGCATACCATGTCTTAATGCTCAGTATTCGTAAATTCTTGAACTCAGCTAGGGCACCAATACCCCGCAAATCAATAGCACGGCCCGATAATTTTATTGTTTCCAAGTTTGAAAACAATGCTTTATTTTGTAATTGTATTAAAACTTCATTTATATTTAGAAGTCCAAAATATGCATTCAAATGTAAATAATGTAATCGGTGCATTCCATGCAGTACTGTACAAAGGATTTCAACGTCTCTTATAAGTATATGTTCAAGGGTTAATTCTTCTAAAAATTTTAGATGTTGGAGGTACAACAATCCTTCGTCCAGAGCGTAGCCCATATTATTACAGTTTCTCAAATTTAACACTAAAAAATGTATATGATTAGTCAGACATAATTTAACTTTATTTTTAAAAATCATAATCGTACCTGTCAAATCTTTGCATGTTTTTCCAATTTCATAGAGGATATCGTTGTCAATCTTGCAATAAGCTAATCGCAAGAACGTTAACTTCGAGCCACAAGTTCTAAGAAACGTTACGAAACGTGGAGAAATGTCGCATGATACAAGGTTCAACTGTTGTAAATGCTCACATCTGGATTCCAAGCTAGATAGAATTTTACACTGCCAATCACCAATAGTATCATCGGTAGACATCTCACACATTAACAAATTTTGTATATTTAAATATTTAAAAAGTGAAGGATCTCGTGTTAATCGATTGAAGCATTTATTCGTTTGGCTCATACGGCACAATGACCTTAAATCTAAGTATTCCAGTATTTTTAGTATCATCTCTTCCTGCAAGGATAAAATATAAAATTTTAATTCACGATATTATAATAAATATTGTTATAAGAAAGAAACTTCTTTAAATATGTGTTGAATATTTTACAGGAAGTATAGAAAAACCACAACGTGGTTGCTCCTTGAATTCACTTGGAGAGGGTGTGATGCCTTTCAATTTTCCATTATTTAAATGTAAATTGCTAAAAATAATGTTGAAATTAATTGACCGTTAATATTAATAAAAATAGAATATTACTTACTATCGATGATTACAATACCTTTTTCGAATAATACAATAGTCGGAAAATTTGTGTTTAAGTTGATATATATCCAAGTTCGCAGTTTTGTAATCTGGTGTTAAATTATATATATCCTCACGGTCAGGATAGCTGCGATTAATATCTTTTAATAGATCAGTTAAACTCTGTTTAGGATCTTTAGGTTGAATTAATTCTGATGTTCCGATGAGCTCTACAGCATCTATCTGTATTCTCTTAGCGTTATACGGAAATATTAATCTGAGCATTTTAGTTTTAAAGTCACAGGCCCGTAAAGCCGGGGAAAACAGTCGTGATTTACAGTGGACAAATTGTTTTCCTCCAGTCCATAATAAAAACCACCGATCAGAATCTCGCGTCCAAATTTCAATAACTTTACCAGGATTCTGTGTTTCATATATAGAAACCCTAATTGGATATACAGTTTGTTTAAACTTGAAATCTGCAAAGTAAATAATTTAACTGCAATTATTTCTGAACACAAGCATATTTTCTTTAATAATACCTTATTTGTAAATTCAAATATTACATACCAACATAATTATAACGGATGTTCTCTAAGTATGTGCGACCTGATGAATTAATATAATCTGCTCCTTGCAGGTATGAAGATTTTGAAATACTGAAACTGTCTCTGACGAGTATCTGTATTAAGAAAAAATGTCAAATATTACAGAATCTTGCAGCATAAAGTGAAATTATGAATATTTTTTACAAAACATTAGCAGATAATATTTGGAAATAACACATACACGTTTTTCTATCTTGTAGTCTATAAATATAGTAGGCAATCCATTTATATTATAATCACAAGAAATTTCTCGTCTTATAATATCCTCCTTGGAATATATTTCCGGAGAATCTAGAGAGTGAAGCTGGCCAAGTTGAAATCCGCTTTTGCACATATGTGATTGATGGATAAAATCAACATGATCCTCTCCTACATTTACCCTTTTGATATCTATATTATTCTTCCAATTTGATGCGTAATGGGACATGATATTTTCTGAGAAAAATGAAATATAATCTCGGTAAAGAATTAGCCAGCACTTTGTCGCCAAGTTGGCATTAAATATTATATATAATGCACCAGCAATTTTGACACCACAATCTGAGGGAAGTAATTTGATACCACATTCATGTAAAAAAAACGAGCAAAATCTGTTATCTGGTAGACGTGTAAGCGTATCGTGTCATCTAACTAGTAGCACAATACATATAGCAGAAATAATGTAAATTTAATGCTATGTATGTTGGGTGTAATTGATCCATGACATATGGATTAAACACTGTAAAGTGATCTCTAACTGTAAGTGAGCCGTCTCTTACAGTTTACATTTAAATATGCCAACATTAGTTGTCAATGCAAAAAATGTAAAATACATTATCATTTCTCGACAGCTCTTAGAAAAATTTAATTCAATAAAATTAAAGTTTCAAAAGTAAATTTTCAGCTCTAAATGTTTATTTTTAAAAATTAAAAGTTTTCTTGTGGCAAGTTTTCTTGGCGCAGAGAAATGTGCACTGCTTGGTTAATAAATGAACGACAAAATCCTATTTCGAATCCAGCGGTGGACATAGCTCGTTTTTTTGGACGGCATTTTGGACACGTTTCCTTCGGCAAGGTTAGCAGCTTATCGAAGATGAAGTGGAACCAAATATTCAAAATATTAGGGTGAAATCACTCGATACGGGAATCAGCGTGCAGGACAGAGGATGCGTGATTCGAACAGCCAATCAGTCCTCTGTCGCATTTTGTATACCTTTCCCGTATGCGTTCCAGTCTACAATAGATGATTTAAGCCCTAAGCTTTAAGAAATTGGCCAATCACGGTCAAGTATGAGTAGAATGCGCGACTGTGATTAGTCAATTTCTTAAGGCTTAGGGCTTAAATCTCTATTGTTGACTAGGACTTTACGTTACTCACCTAGCTTAATATCCTACAATGCTAGAATTGAAAAAGTGTCGGTTGAAACGGTATATCCTATAGACACACGCATAATTTTAGCGTAATCTGTGTACATATAATACGGTAAAATGACCAAAATTGCGTCATAGGATTCGAAACCAATTTTTGTAGTAATATAATTTTAAATAAAATTTGTTCAATACTGTCGCAGTGATGTTTATTTCAACATTTTAAGTAGTATACTTGAATAAAATTAACAAATATTACTGTTTTGGTGAAATAATTTTTTCAAATTGTGTTTTTTTACAAAGAAATGTTAAAAAATATTAGGAAATAGTGTTTATTACAAGAAAATATTATGAAATATTCCTGGAACGCGTTATTTTTTAGCCTTTCACGCACGGTGTGCACAGGGCACGAAAATATGCGAGATGGAAAAATGCGGAAGAGAACGCCGATTGCCTGTATGAATGACGCAGCATCCTGTGTTCTGCTGATTCCCGTATTGTATGATTTCACCCTTAGTTCGTTCTGTTACTGAACGAACTCATAGACATAGTATACAATGTATGTATAGACTGCGTGTTCTCTACCTGACTCGCGTGTTGGCTCGTAACTTCATCTTTGTCTAGTGAAGTAGTGGGGTAACAGAAGAATAGGAAAACCCTCTCTGTGTCAAGCACAGTAGCCATATTGAATTTTTGCCCGACTCCAGATATTGATAGACAGAGAGAGAGAGAGAGAGAGAGAGAGTACCACGAGGGAAAGCATATTGGCCGGTATTCATAGTCCGTTCTTATATGTATTTAAGATTATCTTAAGTACACTCTAATGAGCTTTCAACCAATCATAGAGCCGTATTAGCATCTTAAGACAACACTTAAGATGATTTTGAAATAAGAATTGACTATGAATACCGGCCATTGCAGTCTCTTTCTAGATTGTGTACACTTCTGCAGCCACAATGCGCGGTCTATATATTCTATGTGTATGAACGAACTGAATAAAAGAGTCTTTAAGCCTAATACACGATAAAAAGAAGTTAAAAGTTTACTGATGAAACATGTGAAACTATATCTTCGTTAAATACTTACGGAGTTATGGGGCTTGAAATTTACGGTATCACCAGTATTACTATTAGTCCCAGTCTACAATAGATAATTTAAGCCCTAAGCTTTAAGAAATTGGCCAATCACGGTCAAGTATGAGTAGAATGCGCGACTGTGATTAGTCAATTTCTTAAATCATCTATTGTAGACTGGGACTTACGCGTGGCGTGCCACGTGGCGGTTGCAACGGTTGCAGGCTTTACAACTTCAAAGTGGTACACCTCATGTACAATACTGATAATACTGTAACTTTCTAACTTCACGATTAATTGAAACCAATTATTATTATTATTATTACTACTGGATTAACTTTTTCACACAACGCCAAAATACATTGCGACTCATGACGAACTGTTGTACGGTGTCTGAATGATAACATTCAGTGTACAAATTCAATATATGACGCTTTATGGTGGTATTTGACTAAGAAATAAATATTTACCTTGCTTTAATAATTATTTTTACATACAATTCACCTCGGTTATAAATATAAGTAGGTATAGTAAAGTCCTTGTCGAAGAGTACAACGTGTTATACTCCACGCAGCTACACTACTAGCATGTTAATGGTACATGGTACAAGAGCGCGTGGGCAGGTAGGGTGCTTTTGTACATAAAGAAAATTAAGGTAGAGGGGAGCGAAGTGTTCTCTACTCTGATTGGTCCGCCATTTTTATTTTTACAGACTGGCTGCTACACGGTGTTTTAATGAGTTTCAGAACGTGCATTTAAATTCATGATTTCAACACAGTATAACCAGTAGTGGCACTCGCTCTTTTGTTTTACGTTCGCGCCGATCCGTACTGCGCATCCGACATGTTTTTATTCTGACCAATCACAGGATTTTGTGTACGTGTGTTAGTGAAAAGTCGGTGTGACATAGAAAAATTCGCAGTGTAGACGAATAACGCGTAAATACTTTTATACGTTGGCGCAAGTAATTACATTAATTACTTTTATTAGAACATTTTTTTCATAGGCCATTTCCATTTACAATAAATAATGTACGAAAAAAAATGTTCTAATAAAAGTAATTAATGTAATTACTTGCTCCAACGTATAA